CACAGCCTGTGCAGTCGGAGCGCTCAGTGCCTCATGACACTCTGATTTTAAAAGCTAGTACTACACGGAGCCAATAAAGCACATTGAACAGGCTGGGAGCTGGCTGGCAGATCCCAAACAGAGCAGGGAAGTGCAGAGATGTGTTCTCAGCGAGATCCGGGGGAGCGTGCTTGGTGGTGATTGGGGAGAAAACAGAATCCTCGCTCAGAAAATGAGTGAATGACAGAAAGATGGATGCAACAGTAAATAGTGAGGGGCAAAGAGAGAAATGTGCTGAGCTGCGCATGCTGAGGCTGCCCAGCACTGTGGAATGGATCCCTGCCATGTTCAGGGGCAGAGACTTGTCCCAGCAAGGGAGGGACTGTGGGGGTCACCACGGGTGAACAGCCCGGCACAAGGCCCTAATGTGGTGCTGTGGCAAAAAGGGCTGGTGTGGTTCTTGTGGGAGAGGGGAGGTGCCTTTGTACGCTGCTGAGGGCGGCAGGGGGGCACTCCTGCCATCAAGATGCTGTGCTTAAAAGTGGGACACTGAAATCAGAGGGGCTGCAGGGAGACGGGCCACAAAATGGATCCAAGGGCTGGGAAAATGTCCTGCTTCTAAAAGCTTGAGCTGCGTTCAGTTTATTAAGAGAAATCCTGCTTCTGTTCCCCCAGACCAGAGCCTGGGTCAGGGAGAAAGCAGCACATGCCCCACTCCGTGGAGAAGGGCAGAGCCAGCAGGCTGGCACAGGGACGGGTCCTCACTTGGTTCCTTGGAGCAGCTGGGAGGAAGGGATGCTGCTCAGAGAGCATCCACAGCCTGCACAGTGCAATGTGCAATGTGACAGCCCCATTCCACCAAACCCACAGACCCAACCCCCCCTGCGCCTGCTTCCTCAGCCGTGATTAATGGCAGGCATGGTGGATGTGGGAGGGCTGCAGTGGGTGCAGTGGGCTCCCAGCTGCTCCCAGCGTGGTCCAGTGAGCCCTGCTGCTGCTCTCAGGGCATGGGTCCCCATGGGTCCCCTCAGGCACAGCGTGGGACCCCCAACACATTGGAGTCCCCGTGGGTTGGGACCCAGGGCTGCCAAGGTGTGCCACCCCTAGGTGAGCACAAAAGGAGACACAGCGCAAAGACACCAAGTCCTGGAGTGGCAGGGGCCGAGCAGGTTTAATTGCATTAGAAGTGAAATGATGAAGGAAAAAAAAAAACGGCTTTGGTTTAAAGAAAGGGGCTGGGGGGGGATAGGAGAAAAAAGCCCTTCAAGTTTCTATGACAACCGGCACAGCAAGAGCCTGCATCGAAAGCTCGCTTAACACATTGAAAGCTGTACAGAAATAACTAAACCCCAAACTTTGTTCTGCCAGAGCTGGCAGCAGCACTGAGCCGGCATGGAGCTCTGCTCCTCCTGTCCTGTGGGCTGGAGCTGAGCAGCTCCTTGTCCCCTGGGCTGGGACATTTGGGAGCAGGTCCTCATCCCTGGTCCCAGGCCAGGTACCACTGATGCTGGTGCCACCCAGGCACAGTGAGAGAAGGGGCCTCTGCCCTTGGACCCTGCCATGGCCCTCCCATCCCACAGCTCCAGGCTGTGTCCCATCCTCTCCCCTGCAGTACCATCTTTGCTCTCTGCAGACATCCAAGGCAATCCCTATCTCCTGCCATTCACACCCACCCCTGCTAGCCTTCCTCTTCCATCAGCTCCAGTCTTGCTCTGCTCTCCATCCCCAGAGTGACATTTGTTGAGCCACAACATTTCTCAGAAGCACCTTGGAAGGATTCCCTTCCTTTCCCAGCACCAGGAGAGGCTCAAAGCTCTCCACCTGCCCATAACACTGTCCAAACCCATGGGGAAAATATACTTTTAAAGTTCCAGTGGCTCAGCCCCTGCCACTACAATACCCAGCCCAGCAATGGAATCTTCTTTGCTTTATTACACTGCACGTGGAGGAGCTAACTCCCTGACTCTAAAGCCAGGGTTAGGGCTCTGCTGCCTCTCAGCTGCCACCCATGCCTTCAGAGCCCTACCTAATGCTGGGCAATGCATCCTCCAGCTCAGTGAAGGCCGTCTGGAGCAATTTCTTGCAGTGTTGAGAACCTCGTGGCTTCACAGACGGGCTGGGCATTGCCTCCCCTACCCTCTTGCAGCATCGGCACCATCCCTCACCCCTCCCTTCCCCCGGGCTTCCTCCTCTCACTGCCTGGCACTTGGCAGCACGGCTGCTCCTTGCAGCATCCCAGCTGAGCGGCTCTCTGGCTCTCGGGCACTGCAAAGAAGTCAAACCCAGCACACAGGTACACTGCTATTACTGCTGTAATGACAGTGCCTGAGTTAAGGAGGCAGTGAAATGAACACCCTGCTTTGGAACACATCTAGATTATTGTGATTGCTTTTAATGCTTCCAAGGTGTAAATACGGGTTTCTAGATCCTTAAAGATGCCAAGGAGTTACGAGGGGATGACTCAGCGATGAAACATTCACTTTCATCCCTGTGCTGGCACAGAGAGGTCTCAGTGTAAGACATCCACCTTAAGAGCAGGGTGATAACAAATTAGCCGCAGACGCTCTTGGCTTAATGAATACTGCAAGACAAAACAAACACGAGATGCTGCAGTTACATAAGGAGGTTTCAGAGGTTGGTGGTGTGTTTACACCTCTGAGGCTTCACACTGAAGGTGGGCGGCAGCCTTGAATGTGGAACGGGGACAGAGCCCGAGGAGTGCCCACAGGAGGGCTGCAGGATCTCCAGGGGCACAGAGGGCTGAGCACGGGGATGAGGGCAGCGTCAGTGCTGACACCTCAAGTGCCTGCAAACACGAGCTGCTCCCGGCGAAGCGGCTCCTGAGCGCTGAGCATTGCTCTCAGCAGAGGAGGGCAGCGAGCGCAAGCAGCTCCTGCAGCAAATCAGCAGCGCTTTAATTAAATCCAGGTATTTCGGTCTGCGCTCACATGGGGCTTCATGATCGTTATTACAACCAACATTTCTCTCTTGGTTCAAAGAAACCAGTCCACGCCTGACACTGAAGAGCAAACGCTTCCAGGAAGCAGCAGCCTTCCCTGGCCCCAATGGGGCTCCACAGCCACCCCAGCACTCACCCGCACTGCGCTGCACACTGACTGTTCTGCTGCCACGGTCCCATGCTCTGCTCCACAACACACACAAAGGGCCTCTACCAGAAACATGGAAGGGGCTCCGGATGTCCCAGCACACACCCAACACCGCAGCCTGCTCAGCAGCTCCCTGTGCCAAGGGATGCAGTGGCACCAGGCTTTGGGGCCGTGGGAAGAGCGGGTGGGAGCTGCTCCCCAAACAGGGTCAGATGGGATTTGCTCAGGATGCGTCCTGCACGTCTTGACGCCTTGACAGGGAAGAGCAGCATGAAGGTGTCAGTGCTGCTCTCAGCGTGAGGCTGGCACAGCCAACACAGGTGGTAAAACTCGTGCAAGTGCTGGCTCAGTGCTGGGCTCATGGCCACAGCTCCTCTCTTGGGAATGTCAGCTCTGACAGCTGTCTATGTGCTGCTCTCTCCGAGGTGTTCTGTGCCTCCATCAGTTCTCAGGTGATGTAATTATTTAAGGTTAAGCCTTCCCAATCCAAACAGCATTCCTGCACATAATGCAGAACAGGGAACATTGCGTCCTGGGCACAAAAGAAGCCAGGATTCACCGCTCCTGATGTGGGCCAGGAGCTGGAATGGCCATCACCACCCTCAGCAATCCCTGGACATCAGAGCTGCTTTGAGCTCTGTCGAGCATGGTGGTCAAAGCACACAGCAGCACTGCAGTGAGCAGCATGGAAATCTCAGACCGTGGTCAGCAGAGGTCACAAAGACATCTCTAAAATCCTGTTGATTTTGTTGTTGCATCCACGATGACCCCCCCTGGGATGCCCCTGGCAGAAGGCTGGGTGGGATCCAGCAGCCTAGGAAATGGCTCTGGCTGGGTTTTCAGCAGGCTCTTGCTGCCAGTGGTATTGGGAAGCTGATAGCCAGCCTTGCCTTCAGGTGAGTGGACAGAGCAGCTCTGAATCAGACCTTTCAGGTGGAACCCATGAGACTCAAGCTGGGGTGTCAAAAGCCTGCGGTGGCATAAGGAGAAAGGAGCCCTTGGATACCACTGGACATGTGCACCAGAGCTGGCACTCCACATCCTAGCAGTTCTGTATGGTTTGAGAACACTCTGCCATCCCAGGCACCCAGGGGTGCCTCTGTGATGTTAAGCATAAATGGGAGCAGGAAGCAAAGGATGATGCTGCCTTGTGCTCCCTGTGGGCTCAGCACTGCTGGGAGCAGCACTGCAGGAACGCATCAAGGAAAGAAATACACCAAATTATGAAGGACAAAAGATGTTCTCGACCCAACCCCTTCTGCACCTTCCAAAAAACCCCTCCCAGTGACAACCCTGCGTGGCAGAGCATTATTCCACAATTCCAAAAACACCAACGGCATCTTTTTCCCAGTACAAGAAAGATGACAGCAGAAGGATGTTCCACTTCTCCCAAACAGCACAGGAGCAGTGCAGGGTCCTACCAGCAAACATGCTCAGCAGCACAACGCACAGCTGCTCCATGCTCAGGACCAGCACTGAAGCTCTCACTATTGATTTTAATAGAGTTTGCCATCATGCTGCCATACATCTCTCCAGCAAAGAGACTGCCCGCCTGCCTGGAGGGTGCCATGCTGCAGTGAGGCTGTGGGAATGCAGGGTGCAGCAACAGCTGTGTGCTGTGCACACACAGAGCAGAGGAGTGGACAGGTCACTCCCACCCCAGCCCCACTGCACAGCCCCGTGGGGTCCCAGCCCCGGCCCCATGCTGTCAGCTCCTCCTGATCTGATTTAACAATCTGCATACGCCCCGAAGTCAAGGTGACTGACAGCCCTTCACTCTCATCCCTGCTCATGTAATTGCTGCAGCTATTCCTGTACACCGAGATGTCTAATCTTAGCAAGCCGGAGCTGCCTGGCGATACGGACAAACCGGGAATTTCCACGCAATTACTCACCAACACCACTGGCACTTACTTGGACTGGTAGAAGTCCTTCTTGTCTGCTGACCCCAGGCTCTGCAAGACAGAAGACAAAACAGTTATGTCCCTTTAACCCATGGCCGAGCAGTGCCATTGATGAAGATGCGTGAGAAGGAAGGGCTGTGCCTGGGCTGTGTGTACGGCTGGGCAGGCTGGGGGCACTCTGGGCTGCCAGCTCAGAACCTGCATCCCTTAAAACAGTGCAGGCACAGCCTGCAGTCACCAGGGCTGTGCTGAGAAAGGGTCATGGCAGCAGCATGAGGATGCATTGGCTCTGAGTCTAGCCCATCCACATCTGCCACCACTTGCAGCAATGTGGCACCATGAATCAGGGCAGGCTGGCAGCAGGACAGGGTGTGGGGTCAGCAGAGAGACCCACAGGCATGAGGACAGGTTCATGAAATTCTTCTGTCCAGAAAAACCCCAACAAGGTGGAAAGTGAGGACAGCCCGATGCTCATGTGTTACCATACCCCCGCGCCTTCACAAATGCCACTCCTGCCACCAGCACGTGCTATTGGGAGCCCAGTGCCATCCCAGCCCTGAGGGATGAGGGGATGGGGCGAGCACAGGAAGGCCCCCACCGACAGAGGGATGCACTGGCTGCAGCATGACGCTCACGGTGAGACAGACAGACAGACGGATGGATTGATGGGAGGGCAGGCAGACAGGTGTTTGAAGAGACAGACAGACAGACAGACAGACAGACCCACCAAGCCAGGGCGGCAGCACAGCCACCGCACCTCCTCCTGCTCCCGCTCCCAGGGACGGCCCTGCCCTCGCAGCCCACCAGCGCGGGGTCCCGGGCGATGGCACCGGGTGGTCGTGCCACCGTCCTCTCCCTGTCCCCGTCACCACGGCCGTATGTCGGCTGGAAGGAGGCACGCCGGGCCCGGCAGCTGTTGTAGTTTTGCTCCGTGGTTGCCAGGCAATCGCGAAGGCGAGCGCCGAAGCAGAAGCGGGGCCGAATGCTAATGGGGACTCGGAGCGCTCCCTGCCCAGCCCCGAGGGAAGCTCCGGGTGCTCGGCGCGCAGGGCAGCGCAGTCCCGCAGTGTCCCTGGGCAGCGGCCGTGCCCCGGCACATTTCCCTGGGGCTGAAGGCACCCACCGCCCCCAGCCCCGAGGCTGTAGCCGAACCTACGGCACCGGGAGCGCGGAGCTGGAGCTGCGCTGCCCTCGCTCTGTTCTATAGACTGGGATGTGACCAAGCCCTGGCCCGGGCGGAGCTCAGTGGGCACACTGGAGCCCCACACGATGGGATGATGGCGTGCGAACGGGGCAGGAACAGCGCAGGGCAACGTGATGGGAGCTGTGCTGCAGCCGACAGCTGCACCTCACACCAAGCAGCTCTCCAAGGCGAGGTGGCTTTCACTGAGGTCTCTTCTATACGTTGCAATGCTCCTCCTCCTCCCCACTGAGCCTTCCTCCCGCCTCCCACAAGCAGAGGCCCATCTGCAGCCTCTGTGTGCACCGTCCTCATGGTCTTCCTCAGGAAAACATCCTTGGACCATCCCCAACCAACACGTCTCATTCTCACTCCATTCACTCAAAGCACACAAACTCACGTACAGCACCCGTACATCGGGCACAGCACTCCCACTGGGTACATCATTACTTCCTTGGACTTGACACCTAAACCCCAGGGTGCTGGATCCTGAACTATGGCTACAAAGCAGTTTCCAAGCCATCAAAAATTCAGTTTCATCCACTATCCAGCAAGGATCGTGGAGAACTGGTGGCAGCACCACCACCTGATGCATGAGGAATCCGCACCCACAGCCAGAGCCTGGCACCAACAGAGCTCTGCAGGATGGCTACCACTGTCCCAAGGTAGCTCAGAGCTGGCAAAGGCAAAGCTGGCACCAAGAGCCCCACAGCTGGCACTGGGAGCATGAAAAGCGATCAGTAAGGGCCCCATAGCTGTCACTGGCTGCTCCACAGCTGACACTGAGAGCCACACGGCTGGCACCGGGACACAGCTGGCAGCAGCAACTCCAGAGGGCAAAGAACGGGTTAATGCAAGCACGATGAGCAGCTGGTTTTTAAGAGTCATGGAAAACTCAGGGGGTATTAGATAGCTGGAATAGAACAACGAGGCACTAGCTCTGGAGAGAGGAAAAACAAAACAAGAAAGCGGGGAGCTCTGTAATGACGGCTAGCCAAAACATCTCATTTGGAGCCTTATTAAGAGAAAATAGCAGTCGAGGAGGGACAGCAGAATTCCAGCACCATGTCCAAGGAGTCGAGCCTGGAGCAGGGCCAGCAGCCAAGGCTCAGCTCCTGGCTGCCCTGCACCTCACTGGCTGACCCCCACCCGCCCCGTGCCTCCCCACAGTCCCCACACAGCCCTCCCTGCCCTCTTCCCAGAAGAGAGAGGGTCTGTGCACAGCGCACAGCCAGAACTCCCCCCACATTTCATTTCTTTCTCCACTGCATGCACAGGGGGTGAGGATGTGCTCCTGGCATCCCATCTATGTGGGATGTAATTGGAAGCCCTTTGGTGAGGAGCAGCGTCGGCCAGGGCAGTGACAACATCTCCAATCCTGCTGTACGACCAGCCCCAGCCCCATTTTACCAATGGCCCCAGTCCCATTGCACCAACAGCACCAGTACCTCTGCACCAACAGCCCTGGCCCTGCTGCAGAACGTGGGGTGATCTCAGCTGATGGTGACAGGTGGGGAATTGCGGACAAGTGGCTGATGGAAACAATGCTGAGTGGATGGATTGCCATAATGAAGCAGAGTGGGATGAAGCAGGATGGGAACACAAAGCCTGAATCTTCAGAGAAACATGCTGGCACTCAGCAGACAGAGCTGAAGCCATCTCAGCCATCTCAGAGAGGGGAGAGGATCAGCATTTCTGGGGGCTGTGAGGACACCAATCAGATGGGCCACGCAGAGCTGGGCAGAGCTGCTGGCATGCAGGGAGCTGGGATGAGCTCCGCTTCCCCCACCTGTGCTGGGGGACTGAGAAAGGCAGAGAGTTCCCAAAGCAGAGCAGAAGATGGCCTGGCACACTCCTCTGCATTCTGGGTGGAAAGATCAATCTCTCCTGCATTGATATGGCCTATGGAAGTTTTTATCTCTGCAGTTATACAACACAACATTGAATGCTGGCTGTCTCACACGCATCTAGATTGGGATCTGCTGGCTGCCAGGAGAGCCACATGCCAAGGCGGGGGGAGCTCTGGGAGCTGCAGATCCACAGGCAAAACAAACCCAGAGCCACAGAGGGCTCTGCTGATGCCATAGGGAGAGCCTGGTGTGGGGGGGAGGTGTGAGCATCCCTGTGCTCAGTGCATACCCCACACCGCAGCGTGAGTCACGTTCCACAGGGCCGCCGCGCTGCTGCCACTTGCTCATTTCATTGATGACTCAGGGCTTAGGAAGCACGTTTGAAATCCCTTAATGAAATAATGGAGAGAGTCATTTTTATCGGCATGTATTTTTAAAACAAATCCTTGAGTGAGGTTTGCGCCTAGCTCTGCCGTTCCGCTCCAGAGATGGAGGTGAACAGCTCTTGGATAGAGTCCAGTGCACTGGTGGGGCAGGAGCAGCCCCTGCACATGGCACATCCCAATGGAGATGGTGGCTGGGAGTGAGGACACTGCCTGGCTGAGATGGGAGGGCTGAATCCCAACATGACTGGGTCAGAAGGGCCCTCCCAGCCCCCAGCCCCAGATCTACCGTGGGCTGTGCCCCCAGCTCAGGCTGCCCAAGGCCCATCCGTGGCCATGGGCACCTCCAAGGTTGGGCACCCACAGCTGTGGGCAGCAGTGCCAGCGCCTCACTGCCCTCTGAGTGAAGGTTTTCCCCCTAACATCTCACCTAAATCTCCCCCACTTTTGGACTGCTGGCCAATGTGACTAAGAAAGTGGTGTCCCAAGCAGGGACAAAGCCATTACCACCAGGACCCTCTTCTTTTCCCTACACCAGCATCGCAGAATTGGGCCAGTGCTGCTGCTGCTGCCGTTGCTGTGAGAAGAACACTGCTCCACGCGATGCTCAGAGCCTGCCTGAAAGTGCAGTGTCACCAGAAGCACCAAGAAGGAAAGAGGTGCTCAATGACAGGGCTTATGTAAGCAGCAAACATGAGACCATTGTAAAGGACAATGCTGGGCTCTGAAGTTGAGCCTCACTGGGAAATAACAGCCACGGGGCTGGGAACCAGGCGGCACGGAGGGGCCGAGGCAGTTGTGCATGATCCATTTATTCCCACCAACACACATCAATCCCGCTGCACTTTTTACTCCCTGAAATGTTGCCAAGCATGATCTGAGCTCATCTTTTTTTTCTGGGCAGTGTCCCTGGGAGAACCACATTATGAGCAAGGGCTGAAGAAGCCTCATGCAATTGTTCAGAAACGACACCAAAACGATGCCCAAAGACGAGCAGCTGCTCGCAGGTGGCAGCTTTCTCAGTCATCCCAATAAAATCCGGCTCAGCGCTCCCAGAATAACCAATGCCCACACAAACAAAAGGAGAGACAAAAACCGAGGGAGGTTCTTTTTTTCCATGTTGGAAGAACACTCCGCAAAACAAACCGGTGGGCTAAGGCTGATCAAAGCCCACTCCCCAGACCTGCACCCAGTGTGGCACCCGAGCGCTTGGGCCGAGGCTATGGCAGGGCTGAGGTTGTGCTGTGCAGCCTCACACAGCACTGCATGCACCATGGAGCCCAATGTGCAGGTGCCAGTGGAGCCCATGTTCCTCTCTGTCCCACTGGGGATGTGGGGCAGCTGCCCAGCCCCTGGTGCCCAGCCTGGCACACAAGACACATGGCAGCTCCTCCCTGCTGCTTCCCTCTGCTGGCTGCAGCTGTTGGGACACGATGGCACCTGGGTGGTGGCACACCATGCTGGGGGATGTAAGAGTGGAGCAGAGCTCTGCTGCAAAGGGCTGGGGGTGGCAGCTGGGTATGAGCCAACACTGTGCCCTCATAGCCCTAACTAAAGTCAATGGATCCTGGGTGCAGCAAAATGGCATGGCCAGCAGGGCAAGGAAGGAGATCTGCCTCTGCTCTGACTGTGAGACCTCACCTGGAGCACTGCGTCCAGATGTGGAGTCCTCAGTACAGGAGAGACACGGAGCTGTTGGAGGCATTCAGAGGATGGCCACAATAACGTTCCAAGGGACGGAACACCTCTCCCAGCTGAAAGAGCTGGGGTTGTGCAGCATGGAGAAGGCTGTCCCAAACCAGCATTGCTGTGTGTGAGCTTGTAAGTCTGTAGGAAATCCCCCCAGGTGTCACACGCTTCTCCAGCATCATCCCTCCCCCAGCAGCCCTGCAGAAAAGGACGCATGGTTCCCCATGGGCCTCCCTGTGCCACACTGCTGCTGCCCCACGCACAGCTTCACGCCGCACTGCCTGACCACCACTAAGTGCTGAGGCACCAAACCCCATCAAGGAAGCGCGAGACACACTGCAGAATAATTTGAGAGCATTTTAAAAAGCCCAGAGGGGGAAAAAGCTTTTTGGAACGCATTCTCAATCTCATTAATTGGGAAGACAGCCTTGGAGGGGAAAGAAAAAAAAAAAAAAAGATTATATTCCTCCCCAAATCATTATCCACTCTGAAGAGTGTATCATATGAAAACAGTTATATAAAAGAATAAATTATATTTGGAATGGCAGGAACCCCAGAATAAAGCTAAGAACTCTGGTGTTCCCATATAAAGATAGGAGACAGTTATCTGTTCCAAATTTTCGAGTTTTCTGCTGTGCCAATTCAAATTCACTACATACCAGCATGGCCATATAAAGGGGACTCCACCCATGTAATCTTGGAACGAGCTGTAATCCCCCAAACTATCAATTTAATGTATGGGGATACAAAATGAGACAAGAATGTACTGACAGAGAGCACAATCCATTAGCTCCGTGGCAGAAGGCACCAGAACGTGTGCGCAGGAACAGCTATTTAAAGCCACATTTGCATTTAAAGACCGGATCTGAAATTAAGATTTCTGCACGCAGACAGCGTCGATTTTGCCAGTGAAAAGGCCATCTCTGAATCCAACGTGAGTTTTGTTTTTCCCTTTATTCTCTCCCCTTTGCTCAGCGTCACGTTTCTTGGCCGGCGCTGGGAAGAAAGCGGCTCAGGGTCGGGAGTTTCCCATCTCACCATGCCTGTGTGCAGCCTCCCAGCCCGAACCACTCGGGCTGCCCCACACCAGTATGGTGGGGATCAGAGCTCCAGAGCTGCTGTTCTGGAGTACTGGGGCTCCGGGTGCCCTCTGTGACACTGATGCAGCCAGAGGGAGCACACACAGCTGCAGGGATGAGCGTGCATGGACAGCTTTGCACTACTCTGCCCCTCGCCCCCCGCACGCACCGTGTTACATCCCAGGGGGGCAGAACACCCAATTTGCCTGTATTTCTGCAGCAGCAGTGTGGCTGCAATGAGCCCCATCCTGCGCTGAGCCCCTGCTACCAGCCCACAGCGGGACCCTGCTTCTTGCTCCAGCACTGGCTGCCTGACGGGGTGCTCCTGCAAGAGCTGTGCTGCAATGCAGGGCATGGCAAGCAGCAGCACAGGATGGCACACAGCCCTCACAGGGAGACTCCCCGGCCCAGAGATGGAGGCATCGACAGGCCGTGTCAGCTAAGTGTTTCCATTCAAGCCAGACAGTGACTAAGAACTCCATTACTTTGTTGCTCAGTTAAATTTTTCAGCCCCACAAGAGCCAAATGGTTGCTCCAAGCGAAGAACTCCTGCAAGACGCATTCCTTCCTGCTGTCCCAGGAATACCCGGGGATCCATCACTGCAGGACGGAGCTGACAGCTCATTCATCCATCACGAAGAATAACACAGTAACCTTTCCTTTATCCTTTCTCCTCCCCAAATGCCATTTACTGGTGGCTACAGCTCGCGTCACGCTCCTGCAGCGCCGCGGGAGGTGGGGGCTGAGCGAGCTCCTCGTGCTGCCACTGCTGCACATCAAACAAATGAGAAAACAAACATTTGTTTTATTGGCGTTACGGCTGTCAGCACAGGGAAGGAAAGAGCGTGGTCTGCAGAGCATCCACCTTCAACCCTTTCAGCATCCAACGTCACCGCATGCACCAGCTACACCCGGCAGTGCTTGGAGGCCCCTCTGAGCTCCCTGGAGGTACGGCACACGGAGCTCAGCTCAGCACTGGGATTGGTGACATTATGGGATTTATGGCCATGGCCTTTTTATGTGTGCCTTCAGAAAATATGTGCCAAGAGCCTGCACCACACACCAGCACAACCCAGCTGTACATGGGGAGCCCGGCGTTCCCCTACTGGCTGCCCCCAAGCCTTGGGCACAGCAGGGCTCTGCTCAGTGCTCTGCAGGGTGTTGTTCCCCCCTTTCCCACCTGCTCGAAATGGACCTGCTGCCCCTGAGACTGCATTGAGATTCAGCTGAGAACCAAGCTTCAGGCAGGCCTCAGGAAGCCAAAATAGAACAAAACATACATTTGTGACAAGATATCAGTCCTGTAAATCCTTGCACAGAACACAGAGGATAAAAAACAGATCTCTTACAAAAGCCCAGTGCTTTCTCTTGGCTGGTAAACGTGCAGCCCTGCAAAGCCCACAGCTCCAGCATCCCCCAACACCAGGTGCAATGCCATGGGGCACAGAGCAGAGCTGCAAACCACCCCGCAGCACACCACCCTCTCCAAGCCCTGCTCCTGCAGCTCTCAGCCTGCAGACCACTCTCAGCACATCGCCAAACAAGCTTACAGAACCTCCTCAGGGCCACGGGGATGTGAGCGCCCAAAGCCTCAGAGCCAAACCACCAGGACCCCTGTGGGTGACCCGCAGATGGACCCCACATCTCTGTATGGTGAGCCACCGACTGCAGCACAGCCCCCAACCCAGCTCACTGTGTCCATCCCATGTCCCACAAAGCACACTGACCCCTCCAAGTGCAGGGCAGCACCCAGTGCCCCCACACCAGCTGGCAGCAGCTCCAGCCCAGCTTTTCATCTCATGCCTTCCCAAGGCCCTTTACCCTCCCGCAGCAGCCAGATGCTTTGGTTCACATTAGGCTTTTCCCAAATAATATCCCGAGGTATCCCAGCTCTGCAAGGTGCACTGCTCACCATCTCTGCTATGCTCTGGTCTTCACAGGGGCTCCAGTTTCTTCTTCCTCCTCCTACTCCTCCTCCTTGTCCCCTCCCTGGCTGCACAGCTTCCTCCCATTCCGGCTCCATTCCACAGTCTCTCCCCACGATTACAGGGCAGCCCAACCACCCCAGGTGAGCTGGCAATCACAGACCTGGAGGCAATTTCCATGGAAATGTCCCCTCCCAGCTCAGACGTGGGTTTATCTGCCTGGGAGGAGCATCCCACACCAGCACTCCATAGTGCCTGACCTGTGCCTTGCCATCCCAAGATGCAGCAATGCTCCACAAGCAACAGACCACCCATTCACTACTTTCTTCTCTCTGTCCCATGGCAGCCCATGAGCTCATCTCCCTTGCTGGCCCCACAGCCCCCAGTCCTGACCAGCAACACCAGGCCCATGGCACTGGGTCCCCACAAGGTCCCCAAGCCCCAGCCCCAGCCCCAAGCCATCGAT